CTGTTTTCATGTGGATCCGCTGCTGACTGCAAACCAGACAACATGTAAATGGCGCTGTGCCGCCGAAAGCTTACGGCCACTGTGCGAGAATGCTCTAGGATTGCTGCGGCAAATGCTTGAGCGCCAAAGACTACAAAACATCGAAGTGCGACACGTGTATAGGGAATCCAATATGCATGCGGGCGCCGTTTGCAATCTCGTAATGGACCGCAGGAGCGCCAGCGTCCAAGCAGACGCCCGGAGCATTCTTGTGTGGGAAAACCAGGAACCAAATGCTGACCCTGCCGCCCACGGAAGGGGAGTGAGTCCACTGCCTGCCTGATGCCTGGTGCCCGCCAGACCCCCCCCCACCCGCCGCCAGACCTCTTGGCCTGTGCATTCACACAGGCACGTGTACACCACTCGGAAGCGTTGGTCGCTCCAGATGGGCGTGTGCGTTCGGCCTTGCCTCTCCGCCCCGACTTGGTGCAACGTGTGGTGGTGTCGGCTTCTGCGACGCATTTTGCGTCCCAGAATGCTGTGCGGCGCTGTGCACGTATGCTTTTCGAACAGAGTCCTTCACGAACACGGCCATGCCAGGGCGCAGGCCCCGCCTTACGGCCCGCATGCAAACTATATACTCGATTCATAACTGTTTCAAAGGTTTGCATGTCTCAGACTGCTGTTGCCCCACAGATGTTTCTAAACTGCACGTCTGTGAATAACTCAAATGAATATTCACACCACCTTCAATATGTATTCCGTGCCGTATGCAACTTGCCTTTGCAATGCATGTTTGCACCGGAGACTGCTGCGACTGTCAATCAAATTATTTGGATCATATCAAACATGGAACCTTTCCCTGTCTACATGTTGTGCTGGAGAAGCCCTGTCTCCGCACCCCCTTCGCCTCTTCAGAGTCCGTCCGGACTCGAGAGGCGAGGCGTCTCTCACTCTGTCTGGGCCTCCGGGCGGCTCCTAGTCGCCACGGCTTGATCTGCTTCGAAATCCTGAACTGAACGTGCCCAGGATGGGCCAACGGGGTCGAATTTTGAGCCCCGGACTCTGATCACTTCGTGGTCTAAAAAAACACAGCGGAACTCGCTTGGCCACCTTCAAGCTCTCGTGGTATTTGCAAAGGTTTGGGCCGTCACAATGCGGCTCGGGATGAGAAGCCGGTCCCGGGGAAGGAGCCGAGACCTGCAAGGATACACCTTGTGAAACGCTGGGGCTCTGTGTTGCGCGCCTCTCCCCCGTCCGACTCTGCCACGTCCTTTCCCGCTCCAACTCCTCTTCTGGCCTTTCCTGGACACATGTTTTCCTAATATCAGGAGACCTTGCTTACCTGCTGCGGCGATATGTCCATGGACCCGTAATGCTAGATTGACTGATACGCATGCACTTGCCAAGCAAACTTTCTGGCTTGATCGTTTCAGAATGTACACGCTTGGGTGGTACCTGTGTTTGAAAACATATTTGCTGCTCACTGCGAGTCCACCGAATGCATAGGCGATAGCGCTCGGCTTGACTGCAATGCTCAACACTACTGGTTACTAGGATGGGTCGGGCCAGATTATGTATTTGGAAGAAGGAAGGCGGAACAAGTTCAGGGCCGCGGGGAGATCTGGAACCCGATGGAACAAAATCTGTAATGGAATCAAAGCAAAGCTGAACTTCAAGACAATCGCAGCTAATTGTCGATACATCTTGTCCTTCCTGCAAATCATACATACTGCTCACTTCATATGGCGGATGGCGGATCTATTCTTGGACTTGTAACACCAGCGTAAGTCCAACAGGGAGTTTGCGACACTGGGTCATGGTGGCAAGTGGATCGCAGACTCAAGCCACAGTGACATGTATGATAGTAAGCCACGAACAAAACCCGAACCACGTGATAATTGTCCAGGGTTAGATAAGCAAGGCAAAGGATCATACCCGCACGTGGGCAACAGGTGAATACTTGATGGCGGCGTGCTGGATAACGACCACTGGGTCTGCCGATCTTGAATGAGGAGCGCGCCAACGAATTATGAACAGCAGCGGATCGTTCCATGCCGTGGCGCTACACATGGAGGTGGGTGCACAGATGGGAAAGCCCTGGGCCATGAGCGAGCTGCAAAAACCAGGCATTAATGAACCCGACCAGCTAGACACAATTACACGAGGTGCACATGCGTGCTCAATCGATCAGAGTGCGCGCTGGTGAAGATTATGCGCAACGATCCAGATGTAACGTTGATGCGCTTCGTGGCCTCCCCCCCGCGCACTGGCCACACGGCGTTACTCGCTATGAGTGAGGCTACGATTCGGCAGGGTGATGTCTCTCTCTCTCTCTCTCTTTCTCTTCCTTGCTCTCTATGTGTATATGTACACACATATACATATGTACAAGTGGCACGTGTGTGCCCAGGCTCATACAACAAAAACTGAAAGGGCGTTTGAAGCAGGAAGACACCATGACTGCAGGATCGGAGATGGAGAAGGGGAAGCTGGGGCGGCGCCGCCAGGGCGTGCCTAAGCGAAAGGGAAGAGGCAGGAGGTGAACGCAGAAGAATCTAAGATTGAGGTCGCACTCGAGCGCAAGTGGGGTTGCCACACCTTGCGATGTGTGCACCGGGGCCCCCCAGGAAACCTCAGGAGGCCCGGCTTGGATACCGGAAGAGGCTCCAGGAGGCCCCGGGATTGTGAGTGTTGTGTGTGTGTGTGTGTGTGATGTGTGCTCTGTGTTGTGCGTGTTTTCTGTGCGTTGTAGGTGTTGTGTGTGTTATGTTTGTCTAGCGTGTGATGTGTTGGGTGTGATTTGTGTCTCTGTGTGTGCATGTAGTTCTGAGGCCCCAGGATGCCCCAGGAGGCCCCAAAAGACCCCAGGAGGCTCCAGGAGGCCCCAAGAGGCTCCAGGAGGCCGCAGGAGGCCCCATGAGGTTCCAGGAGACCCCCAGGAGGCTCCGAGGCGGGGTCTGGGGTACCAGAAGGTACAGAAAGCCTCAGGAGGCCCCAGGAGGTTCCAGGAGGCTCCAAAGAGGCTCCGAGGCGGGGTCTGGGGTACCAGAAGGTACGTCGGGGCTCGATTTTGGGAGGACGTCTCAGGCGAAATCGCCATTCTCTGAGAATCGGAGTCAAAATCATTGAAATTACAATGTGTTCTTCAAGGTTTTATGTTAGAATGTTGAAATTCCCATGTGTTTTTGGACCCTGACGTCACGATCTGCGTGAGGGGTGCCACCGATGTTCAGAATTTCGAGGATGCCCCTAGCGAAACTGCCAAAAAAAACGCCCTCGTTTTACTTCCGCCACCTTCCGCCGTCCTTCCGCCGCCTTCCGTCCAGGAAGAGATGGAAACTCCTTCGACCCCCGAATGCAAAGCCCTTTCTGGAACACCTCATACGTATCGACTCGAGAGGAGTTGCTTGGACACGGCCAATGCTGCATCAGCTAAAGCGGCTGGGATCTGTGGGTGCAAATGGTGCAGCGGTGCATCAGCTCAGTGGCACGCCCTGGCCCTGGGCGCGCTGCGCTGCATTCAGTCTGTGTCGGTGCACGTTCAGGCTGCGTGGCGTTCACACTGCGGCCTGGATTTTTGGATTTGTCACAGAGACGCCTGAACTAGAGGTCTCCTAGATGGGGTCCGAGGTGGAGGAGGCCTGCGGATCGCGCCGCCAAAACTTCCTCCGAAGCATAAGTCGAAACCCATGTGGTTCAAAGTCGATATGGCGATTCCGCCCAAGGCTTCCTCCAAATCTCAACTCGCATCATTTCGGGTTCGCAATCGGAATGGGGGCGTCTTCCTGCTTGCAAGCCCTGCCGCTCCATGGCGTGATGGTCCCTGCCCACCATTTGGAGCCTTCGTTCGGCATCGTCTTGGTGGAGCCGCGAAGCGGATCGAACTTTCGTGGCGGCGATTTAGGACCCCTGGCAAGCGTAGCTGCTTAGATGCGCAACACGCAACACGCAGCGTGCTGGCACGGAGCTCAACACGCGGACTGAACACGCAGGTCTGAGGCGATGCGTTCGCCGAACACACGGGGGGCCAGCACGTGCAGACCCAGCACGCAGCGCGTCAGCGAGGACGTCTTGCACACAGTGCGTGCTGCGTCTCACCACGGGCGCGTCAGGGCAGCCGAGCTGGCAAGACGTCTCTCCGCCGAAGGCCCGCTCCGCCCCAGCGCATCACTGCAGGCTAGGCCTCGGCTCCTCCCGTGTGGGAAACTGCCCACTGGACACCGGCGCGGGCGCCTGGCCGTCCTGGTCTTACGTCTGGCCTGTCCCCCTACAGGGGGATTTTGGGCGAAAAAATAAAGATACCCCCCAAAATACCCAAACATACGCAACAACTGCTCAAAAGTGGTCCCCAGCGGCCTCCTATACGAAGGCGAGGAGGGGGCTCTTTCGAGAGCAAGGGCCTTCTTTGAAGCCCCACCCGGCGTGCGGGGAGCCTGCTTGAGAGCCTTCGGGCTTTTCTTGGAAGCTCTGGCGCCTTCTTGAGAGGCCCCGCCCCCCTCGCGCCACCCCCCTGTGCGCGCCACCGGCCAGACCTGGCACAAGGCACGACCGCCTGGCAGGCATCACGGTCGGGACCGTTGGCTCACCGCGTCGCATCGGCGGCCCTGGCGACATGCTGTCATGTGCAGGCGGATCGCGTGTCGCTCCGCTCTTCGGGGCGGGAGGCTGGGAAACACTCAGGGCGTCAACGCTCGGGAATTGGGACGTGCTTAGCGTGTCGCCCCGAAGCGTGGTGGGCCAGAACCTGCGGCGCGATACGCTAAGCAAACGTTCCTGACCGTATCCCCCAAACACGCTGCCCCTGATCAGGGGTCCAAAATCGCCCCCTGGACCTCTCCTGGGTGCGTTCTGACAGGGACTTCGGGGCGGACCCAGCCGTGGCCACGATAAAGGCGCCCCAGGAACACGCAAGATCCTCCAAAAGAGCGAACCTCGAACCTCCAAGCTGGAGGCTTGAGCCCCACGACACCCCTGGATCCCTGTCGGCAGCTCCCGATCTCTCCAGGACCCCTTGACGCCTCAGCGCCAGAGGTGGCGGCTGCAGCTCTGGCGCCTCGGGGGCGAGGGCCGCGAGCACTCCGGGACAGGGCCGCCGGCCGACGGCCACGTCCAGGAGCATCTGGGCCTGCTCGCACAGCTGCCTGCGCTCGCACTCCCGCTGGGCCTCTTCGGCGACACGCAGTGGGTGGCCCCAGGCAAGAATGGCCTTTGGTGCGCGACTCGGGCAGAGGAGCAAACAACCTGCGTAAGCCAAACCTGTCGGAGGTCCGCGCGGATTTCTTGGATCTGCGCTGGCCCTGGCGGCGCCTGTCGCGCCGCCCCTGGCGCACTTGGCGCGCCAGGGAGGGGGGGCCAACGCCGATGCGAGAAACCCGCGCGGATCTCCGAACATTCATGTTCGTGATCTTTTGTCTGACTCGATTTAAGGGGGTGCCGATCCCAAGCTCGCAACCCGCTGCCATCGCATCGCGTTCGGCGATCGGGGGTACCCCAATGGGCTCGCACCAAAGGTCACTCCGTCGAAGGGCCACTCTTCCGCGTAGCCGACCTCTATCGCCGGAGGGTCCAGCGCCATGTGCAGGCCAGCCTCTAGGCCCAAAACATCGGTCGTGTGAAGCACGATCTGCCCAGCGGAGATTGGCAGGCTGTTCTGCTGCAGCTCCACATGCCTGGCTGCATGCAGGTCGCGCTCGAGCTGCTCTCGCGCTTTCCGCTCGCGATCGAGCTGTTCTCGCACCTGCCGGTCGCGCTCGAGTTGCTCTCGAAGCTCTCGCGCCTGTCGGTCGCGCTCGAGCTGCTCTCGCGCCAGCCAGTCGCGCTCGAGTTTGTCTCGCGCCTGCTGGTCGCGCTCGAGCTGCTCTCGCGCCTGCCGGTCGCGCTCGAGCTGCTCTCGCGCCTGCCGGTCGCGCTCGAGCTGCTCAAGCGCCTGTCGCTCGCGCTCGAGCTGCTCTCTCGCAAATTGGTCGCGCTCCAACTGCTCTTGCGCCAACCTGTCGCGCTCGAGCTGCTCGCGCACCAGCCGGTCGCGCTCGAGCTGCTCCTCCGCCTGCCTGTCGCGCGTCTCCAACTCCTGCGGGCGGTCGCTACAAAGAAGCCCTCGGCGCAATCATGATAGCCTAGGCTGGCTCTTCGGCTGGGTCGGGGGTCCGTGCTCCCTCCCCCCTGCGCACCTCCTTGTGGTGTACGCGGGCAGCTTGCAGCCGTCCAAGCAACATTAAATCGCCCTGCGCCCGCTCATTTGGTGGTTTTGGACATGTCTTCATAGGTTTCTCGGGGTCTGCGGGGAATTCCACGGTGATTCTAAGCAACTCTGGCTGGAGGAGGCGAGAGGACATTCCAAGACGGACATCCCGATCAAAGATGGGCCTGAGAATGGTCACACCTGGCCTCCGTCCTCCATCTGCTCGGGGCTCAGTCGGACAACTTGATGGCAATGTCTTATTGTATTCGCTGTCCGACGTCATGATTTCTTCGCAACGTCGACCCCCTAAACTCTCGACCCATTCGCCAAGACCGTGTTTTTCATCCTGAATAATTTTCACGTTCCTGGGACCTGCCGAGGGCCCCCAAAAGCTGAGGCACACAGACACAACAGCACGACCGCCTTTCTTATGACGCGAGGGGGCTGGGTAACCTGCACCTCATTCTCCTCCAATTGGGGAGTTGTGGGGGGGCGAGCCTCCAGAAACCTCTTGGGACATCCGTGGAACTCCGAGGATCTGCGCAGGTTGCAATCCCCAAGCTCTTCCTCCCTCCCCCTTCCTCCCTCCACCTCCTTCCTCCTCCTCGTCCCTGCTCCTCACCCCCGCGCCCTCCTCAGCCCATCTCCTCCTCCCCCTCCTCCTGCATTACCATGAAGCGGAGAGAGTAGATGTCTCGATTCAAGCGTGGTCTACTCCCGAAGTACTTGCGAAATCTTGCTATGCACGCGTTCCGAATCCGAATCCTCTCCGCCCCACTCGCCTTCTTTTTCCTCCTCATCCTGTCGGTCCTCACTCTTATTATCCTCCTTCTCCTCCTCCTGCTCCCTCCTCAACCCCCTCCTCTGTTTCTCTCTCCCTCCTCCTCAGTCCACCTCCTCCTCCCAGCTCCTCATCCCCTCCCACATGGTCCCTGTCCTCCTCCTCCTCCTCCTCCTCCTCCTCCTCGGCCCTCCTCGTCCCTCCTCCACGAGGTCTCATGCCAAAAGTTCTCACTTCCAGAATGTTTGGCTCCCGAGACCGCCAGCCAACTCCCAAGAAACACTCAAGAGGCACCCGGAAGCCCCAAAATGATACCCCGTGGCTCAGAAGCCCCAGAAGACCTCCTCTTCCTTCTCTTCCTCCTCCTCCTCCTCCTCCTCTTCCTCCCTCCTCTTCCCTCCTCCTCCTCCTCCTCCCGAGACCGCCAGCCAACTCCCAAGAAACACTCAAGAGGCACCCGGAAGCCCCAAAATGATACCCCGTGGCTCAGAAGCCCCAGAAGACCTCCTCTTCCTTCTCTTCCTCCTCCTCCTCCTCCTCCTCTTCCTCCCTCCTCTTCCCTCCTCCTCCTCCTCCTCCTCCTCCTCCTCCTCCTCTCGTTTCTTCTCCTCCTCTTCCTCCTCCTTCCCCTCTTTCTCCTCCTCCTATTCATCCTTTTCCTCTTCCTCTTTCTACTCTGCCACCAAGCCTTTCCACGCCCGCGCCTCCACGAGGCTACCCCCCACACCCGCCCCCGCCACACGCGATGGCACATAGCAGCGGACGGAGGAAGTAGAGAGGGAAACATGTTTTCTCACTCCCGGCGATCGCATTCACCGGCCGCCACCCTCCAGAAAGGAAAGGTTCAAGCTTGCAAAGAATGGCTCCAATCTGCGGAATGGCCCCAAGGGGACCATCCCCACAACGACAAAAGCACAGCACCTACCAGCCCCGTGATCACACACGGTTGGCCAGACCGCACCGCCAGAGTCTGCGACGAACCCCCGAGATCCACAATTCTTTCGTCACCTCCAATGCACCCCATGCACCCCCTCAGGAAGACAGCCCCCGTCCAGCCGCACCGCATTGACAAAAACCACTCGGGCAATCGACAACGATGCGACTATACCGTCTGGCGGAATAAGCGAAGAGATTAAACAACTCTTCTCAATCGCATCCCGAAGCGGGCTGGCAGGGCGGCCCGGGCGTTTCGCATGAGACTGCCTCACTGCCTATGACCCTTAAGCTAAAAACTTGCAAGGACTTCACGGATTGAGGGCGGGTCGTTTTCAAGAAGAGGATGTATCCTTAGCGTCGCGCGCATTTGCATTTAACCAAGTGCATGACTTTGTCTGGATGGGGAGCGGCCCGTTTTCAAAATGTGGTCCTCGTCCCGACGCCACGCGCATTCGTTTTCAGAAAGTGTGCAACAATTTCGCGAATACAGGGCGGCTCCTTTTCAACATGTGGCTCTCGCCTTGGGTCCGTGCCCATTAGCCTTAACCGTTTACAGCCGTGTCAATGGTACTTGTGCTTGACGTCCCAGAAATGGTGCTGTTGATAGGATCTGGATTGTGAGGGCGCGGTATTCATTGATTTGCGGTGTGAAGGTCCCAGAAATGGTGTTCTGGCGCGATTTAAGATCGTCCGGCCTCGACAGTAGAGTTGATTCGCGGCGTCGAAGTCTCAGGAATGGTGCTTTGGCACGGTGGAAGATTTTCAGACGGTTGTAATCCAAGGGGGCTCTTCCCGCAGTGAAGATAGCTCCTTATAGGAGCCCATGAAGAGGGGACTTGAAGGGAGTGTGTATTGCAACATCGTTGATGGGTCTTGGGTTTGCACTGGTCCACCTCCTCGTCCTCCTCCTGCTCCTCCTCCTCCTCCTCTGGTTCCTCCTTCTTCCTCCCCCTCTTGCCGGGGGCGCGCAAACATGGATTAACGATCCATGGATTTGGCGCGCGGTCGCCAAATCCATGGATCGGGTGAGGTGCCCTCCCCCAAATGCGGCCCGTGCCGCCTCCCTCGGCGGCGGAAATCCGCGATGTCTCATGGAAACGGGACCCGTCGCCAATCCACGCCCCTTGATGCATGTTTGCGATCGCCTGATCTTGGGGTATGACGGCCTCCTTGTCTTTGTTTCACCGCGTGCTCCCCCAAATGCCTGCCCGATCAGGCTGACTCGCCTCGGCATCGCTTCTGGATGGGCTGGCGGGGTTACTTTTGGTCAACAGGCTCGCGAGGCGGGTCGAAAGCCGTCCGAACACTAGTCGGGCCGCGACTAGGCAGCAAGAAAGAAAGGAAAGAAAGGCAAGCGAAGCGAGCGAGCGGGCAGCCACTCAGAAGGAGAGCCAGAACCGATACTCCCGAACCCGGTGGCGTAGTGCATCCCGGTGGCGACCAGCAAGTAAGCGCAGCCAAAATGGCGCGGCGGCGCGACCATAAACACGCAGAGGTCGATGCTGGCGGGGATACTTTTTTGGGTCGGCGGCTCCGAGGCAACGGACAGGGAGCGGAAGCGGCGTCCGGTTCACTGTACGGGGCTAATTGCAAGACAATTGCCGCCAGCCGGAGTCGGCAGACAGACTCGCAGTTGCACGTGCACAGAACAAAATGACTGGCGGGGATACGCGGAGCGTTGACAATATTTCGTTTGACTAATTTGCTCTTTCCCGGCACCCGGCTCTGCGAACAGAGAGGAGGCCAACGCAGTGGGAAGTGGTGGGGGAGGGGTCGGGCGCCAGACGTGGCGCCCCTAGCTTGGACCCTTCACTCCCTTCGCCTCCCCCTCCCTAGCCTCCCCCCTTCTCTTTCCTCCTCCTCCTCCTCCTCCTCCTCCTCCTCCTCCTCCTCCTACTCCTCCTCCCCTCCTCCTTCTCTTTCCTCCCCCTTCTCTTTCCTCCCCTCCCCTCCTCCTACTCCTACTCCCCCTCCCCTCCCCTCCTCCTCCTACTCCTCCTCCCCTCCCGTCCTCCTCCTCCTACTCCTCCCCCTTCTCTTTCCTCCTCCTCCCCCTCCTACTCCTACTCCCCTCCTCTTTCCTCCCTCCTCCCTTCTCGTCGTCCTCCGCCCTCCGATGGCAGTATCGGCCACGCCCCGGGCGCAGCCGCCGCAGGCAGCCGCCGAGGGCGGCCTGTGGCCGCGCTGGCGAGGGCGCGAGGGTGGAGGGAGGGGGTCCTCGCGCGCGCGCAGCTCGTGCACGGCGAAGCTGCGTTCCTCGGAGAGCGGGGGCCGTGGCGCGGGAAAGAGAGAGGGGGGGAGGGGGGGGGGGGGGAGGGGGGAAGGCGGGAGGAGGAGGGAAGAGCAGAGAGGGAGGGACGGCGAGCGGGAGGAGGAGCAAAAAGGAGAAGGAGGAGGACGGTGGGTGGGCGGGGAGGAGAAGGAGGGGGGAGAATGATGCTGAGGGAAGTGAGAAAGAGAAAGGGGAGGAGGGGAATCATCATGGTCAGCTGAAGCACACGACGAAGACCGCCACCCTAAGCCCCGGCCTGGCACAACAGACTGGTGCATCCACTTCGCTTCAACTAAGATCCACCGCCTCTCGTCGGCCCATTTTTAATAGCGCACTTTTGGGAGGAGAAAGAGGAAAGGTGAGGGTAATGACAGCCCGACGACCTCCACAACTGCCACACTCGAG